CTTGAAGAAATTGCCGAAAATTATGACCATATTTTTTCTCATATATATATGATGTTGTTTCAATTTGCTTACCTATCTTCAGTTCTTCTCTTTAAGTATCATAGAATTTTTTGTTTTTTTTGGTAAAATGTTAAGAACTCTATTTATAGATTCACATAAAGATTGTTATAATTGCTAAATAAAGTAGAGTCAATGAAGCCTAATTAATTATTGGTGATCGATCAATATCCTGAAGACCTGTAGATTAAATTTTCATTATTGCTTCGAGCCTTGGAGCATGACCCATTTTGCATGGTCAGGCTTAGCTGCTTGCTATACGTTATCAGATAATAATAAAAAAGGTTTATATTTGACACAAATTTCGTGGGACAAGTGGGATATAATTAATTGAATATAAATGATACAACCACTGTTATTGTTGAGCAAACCTTCACGGCTCATTAAAACGACTAAGGAGAAATAAGTATCCCCACTAGGCTTTCCATTTCTAGTATTCTAAACTCTAGCGAGTGAAGATGGTCAAACTATAGTTAATAACTTTATAATTAATAATACCGCATAAATATAGTTGAAAACGATAATAATAAAATTTTGGTCAGTCTATCCAAAATATCAACTGATCTTATGAAGAATGCGCAGTTAAAATGTTATCCAAGAAAAAATTGGCCAATTCTCGATCCTATTTCTCCGTATGAATAAAAAGAACAAGATCCGATTAAAGACTATACATAATTCAGAAAGAAAGAAAAAAACAACTTATATTGAAGAAAGGATCACTTGAGCTCTCACATGATCCTCCATGATCGATGTTTTCCTTTATTTTCAATATGGTCTAGTAATTCTGGACCACTTGAGCTCTCACATGAGTGAGAGTTGGAACCCAGACACCTGAATGATTATGTAGGAATCAGCCACTATACTATGATTAAAGGACAAAAAACAAGAAATCTTAATTAACATTTCTAAAGAACTGGAACATGACCAAATCATGTAGTCTAGTAGTTTGTGTTAGTGATGTTATTGTGTCATCACCCGGATTCAAGTCCGTATAATCCATATTATTGACGAAAATGATCAACTGAGATATAAATGAAGATCAAATGTGTTCACTTAAAGCACAAAATTGTGGTGATTTATGTATTAAGATTTTCTAGGTGTTGGTATTTAAATAATTTGAATCTTGTTAACATTGCATATAAATTTGCAGCAAAAATGAAGGTGGGTGAATTAAAGAGCCGTTAATATAGAAAGCAAAGTGCAAAAGTACAATACCTATGTGTGCAAAGCCAACCACCAAAGATCTTGGTTCCTTTAATAACAATTGACTATCTATTTTATATAAAGCTCCCATACAGTCCCATATTTCACTCAGACAACAAGATATCTAAAGCTATCAAATCTATAAACTGATCTTTGTTTTAATTTGAGATTCTCCAATGGCTAATCAAGCAGCTGTTGCAGCATTCTTCTTTTTCGTTTTCGCCGTCTTCTCCAACTTCAAGCTCTCGGCTTCTTCTCTTGTCCGCGGCAAGGTCTCATGCCTTGACTGCCAGACTGATTTCGACTTTTCAGGTCTACTCTCTTAACTAGTTGATCACTTTGACGTTAGTGCATCTCATCCAATTTCACCAATGATCACATTTTTATGTAACTTTTACCATTGTGTTGTATAAAATATACTTTTCAGGCATTAAGGTTCTCTTAAAGTGTGACGGAGAGAAGAAACCGGTGACCGCCATGGCGGCTTCAGACGGATCTTTCCGGTCAGCGCTTCCTATCACCAACGAAAAAGGCTCCATGAACTGTCTTGCAAAGCTCTTGGGAGGTCCTGATCAACTCTATGCTCACAAACACAATCTGGTCTCAGAATTGGTCAAGTCCAAACGAGATTCTAAAGTTTTTACTACCTCAAACCCACTCTCATTCTCTCTATCATGTCCCAAACCAACTCGAGATAACGCCGGAGAAATGATTGGAGATTCGAAGACTATTAATTTTCCAGGGACAGGAGGTTTTGGATTCCCACCTGCTAGCTTCTTTCCCTTCATACCAATCATTGGAATCCCATGATTTGAAATGTGGCTTGTTAAGACTTCAAGACATGTTTAAAGACATCTAAGACGCATTAAAGTGAACCAAGACAAGAAAACTAGCAAATTAAAGTTTTTGGTCTAGTGAGAGATATTAATGTCTTTTTATGTGATAAAAGAAAATGTTGTTTATTGTATTCTTCTAGCTTTTAATCAGTACTTTGTATCATGTGTAATAATAAGTTTGGGTCTCTTCAAAAAAATTGAAAGTTTTATAGTGAAATTTCATCTTTGTATGATACAAATATGCACCTAAAAGACTAAAACTGAAGAAAAACAAGCAACCACTAACTTTTAAACAGATGGATCTTGTTTTCAAAATGCACAAAAACGAAATACCAAACTAGAATCAGATTTTATCGTCAAGTATGGATTTTCAAGAATCATATTTTGGTTGGCTTGAGAAATGTTAAGTCACACAAGGCATTCAATAAAAACTTAACCGATATTGGTAAAAGAAGATCACAAAGCTTGAATCTGTAAACCGAGAATGAAACCACTAATAGTAATAGCAATAACAGAAACAAAATTGTCTTAACAAAATCTTGATCCTACCAATTCAGAATTCTGGAATTAACCAAAAGAAAAAAGAACAAGGAACAAGGTTCAAGACAGAAATAAAATTAAACTTCTTCAAAGTCTTTGGATAAGATTCCTTCTGCTGATACCTGAAAGAAACTTTGAGATAAAAATCTCAGAAAACTCGGTTTGGTGGACCCATTGTACTCTTCAAGTACAAACACCTCACCTGCAAACAAAATTCAAGAGTTAGATACCGATCAATGTATCAAATGAAAGAATAAAACTGAAGGTGCAAGTAGATACTAACATTTTGCCAGTTTTTCTTCAAGAGTGAGACGAGGAAGTTAACGCTCATCTGCACATTCTGAAAGATTTGCTTCTCTTCCATGTCAAGGTTTCCAACAGCAACTCCCATACAGAGAACCTTCTTGAGCTGGAACTTCACTGTTGCCTTTGTCTCATTCACTTTGGATTCCAAAGACTCCTGGTGGCTAACAAGAGTTGGGAACTTTCCTGTTCGTTGTTCAAAAAATCAAATATGTCGTAAATAATGGGATCAATATGTGGAGAGGAAACAGCGAACGGAAAGATAAGGTTTGCTTAGACATGCCTGCCTTGTTGAGACCAGGACCAAGAAGACGGGGAATCTGCTTGATGACAGATTCAGAAGCAAGGAAAGCATGGAACCTCTTGGCGAGCTTCTTAACAAGTTTCTTGTTCTTGTTCAACTTCTTAAGAGCTTCGACATCCATAGAGTCCAATCCAATCTTCTCAGCCTAAGTAAAACCAACCCCAAGTCAATACT